TCAGGGACCCACGCGAGCGGGCGGGGAGGCGAGTTCGGGATCCGTCCCGAAGGGTAAAAAAGGCGGCGAGGGCGTTGTGGTCACGGCGCGGGTTGGCGGTTTCTGATTGAGATGGCTGCGGCGGGATTAGCTGCCTCCTGGACCGTGGCCTTGCGGCCTGGGTCCACTACGGCGCCGCCGAGCATCACGCTCGGCTCGTGGGCGCGCATGTTGAGAAGGACGAATATGTGGTCGTGTTCCCCGACTACGATGTGTTCGTTGAGCAGCAGAGTTTGAACAGCGCGGACCTGGGGGGGATCTTCTTCGCGGTCACCATCGATGTGCGGCCGCGAGGCGTTCCACGCCCTGGCAATGTGCTCTGCACCGTCGCCCCGCTGACGGCCGCGGAGATCAGTGAGTTGCTCGCCGAGGCGGACCAAGTCTGCAACCTCGAGCGCGCCCACCGTGGGCTCCCGAGGCTGGGCGACACCGTGCGTGCGCTTGGCGGCGCGGCCGCTGTGGCGGCGCCCGTGCCCGCGGTGGCCCCCGCGCCTAGAGGGGCCCGCCTTGCTCCTGCAGGCGGCGCGTGGGTCCTCACGGAACTCTCATCGGCCATGACGTCGGGGCCGATTTCGCGCTGCCCGTGGGGGCCGCGGTGTTGGGGTCCAGGGCGCTCGTGGTGATCGACGGGGTCGTTGCCGGCCTCGAGATGCTCGCCGAGGAGGTGGACATCGCACGGCGGGCGCTCGCTCGCAGCAACTTCCTCGGCGACGGTCCGAGGGTCCTGGCGCGAGCCCCTGCCAAGGGCACCCTGGTCGAAGCCGTGGGGCTCATGAGGACGTGCACGCGCCAGGCGGAGGGTCTGCTTCCGCCCCCGTTGCTCGGGCCATCCGTGGGGGCCGAGTGGATCGAGTCGGTGATCAGGAGCGGCATCACCAGCCTGGTCGCGCGAGCTGACAAGTGGCGGAATAACGGCGGCGTGAGGCCACGCAGCTCGGCCGCCCACGAGCACTCCGTCCTCCGTTGCGCGGTCCATCTGCTAGCTTGATGGGCTCAGCGTGAAGACCTTGGTGGGGGTCGAGCTTCTCCAGCGACGGATCACGTTGCGCGAGGAGGCGGTGGCCGAGAACCCCGACGCCCCGAGCTACGAGGGCGGCGACCACTACCTCGGCATCAGCAAATGGGCAGGCGGTGCCCAGACGGCCCCGTCCGTGCGCGCCCATGTGGCGATGGAGCTCAGCAAGGGGGCGGTGATCTTGAAGGAAAAGCGGGAGGTTCGGGAGGCCAGGGCCACCAGCGTCGCGACCGCGAAGGCTGAGGCAGACCCCGCGGCCTCCGCCATGAAATATAGAAGGGAGTGGGGGTGGTGGCGCCAGCAGCTGTCCCCGTCTTCGACGTGGACGCCGGCATGATGTCTGAGGGGGTCTCCATGGGCAGCAACTTTGTGGTGCGCCGTCCTGGGGCCTGGCCTCGTCGACGGCAGGAGGCAGTGGGGGGTCGGTGCTGTCGCGGCCTCCCCCCCCTTCCCGACGCCCCTCGAGGCCAGCGCCCTGGGGGCGGCAGTGGGAGGGGGGCTCGGCTGCATCGCGAGCGGTGGCTTGCCGTCCAGTCGGCGGCGCAGGAGGCAATCGACAGCCTGGGCCTGCTCTTCGGGCGCGACCCGCAGGAGCTCTCGGCGCCGCCGCTGCGCGAGGGAGTTGAGGCCGTGGGCGGCTGCAGCTCTGCGCGCAGTGCGGTTCGCCAGCATCTGTTCTTCACTATCGCTTCGGGACTACCCGGCCATGTGCAAAGTGACCGCGCCTCTTTGTGTCAGTTGGCTGGTGCAAGTGTGGATTGCGAGACGCTTGCATGCGCGGTCGAGCCGTGCGACCCGACCGAGGTGTCTTTGCCCGCGGGGCAGGTATCGCCCGTCGTTTTGGCTGCTATCGTTTCTTCCGAGTTCGGCCGCTCCCTCGATCTCCATAATATTCTGGCCGATGCCAATGTTGCCGAGCACCGCCCTCGTTGCGAGCCCGTGGGATCCGAAGCCGACACCCGAATCCAGGGGGGCAAGGGTCTCGAAATCACGTTCCTCAGAAGCCTCTTCGAGTGTGGAATCTTCGGGTTCAGTGAGGTTACCCATGGTCGGATCACGCCGTTCTTCGTCGAAAAGAAACATTCGTCAGAGACTTGTCCTCGACCGTCGCAGGGTCAACCAGCTGTCCCGTCGCCCTCCTAATTCCGAGACGAGCTCGGCTGAGGACGTGCGCGGCCTCGAGGCCCCCGACGGAGACGCTCCTGTTTTCGTGGCGACGGGGGGTATCCATAATTGCTTCTACCAGTGCGGCGTTCCAGCTGTGCTCAGTGCGCTTTGCAGCTTCGGAGCCGCGGCGGTAGGGCTGGCAAACGAGTGGGGGGCCTACTCAGATGTGTGGGGGGTGCCGTTGTCCTCGGAGGGGGGCGTTCTCCCTTTGCCTGCTCGTGTTGCCGATGGGCTGGACGTGTTGGCTTTGCATTGTCCAGGCCTTGCGTGCCGAGTTGCTCAGAGAGGCCGGGTTTAGACAGGATCACATCATGTCGAATGCTTGGCCCGCTCCTCCTTGTCGGGCGA